CATGAAATCTGCGATTTTTTTGGAGCGACAGGGAGGACCGGTCATCATTCGAGGAGATATTGGTGATTCCATCACGGTCGCCACAATCATGAAGCAGGTTCCAACTACGGGGGGTGTTGACAGCTGGAGTGTCATGTCAGCCTTTCTCACGCATGGGAGATCGACGAGGAAGCGCTGATGTCAGAGCCAGTTGTTTGCCAAAAGTGCTCAGGGCAGCCTATTGGATGCAAGTCCCAATCATCGTGTTGGAGTGCGTTGCTGAGGTGGTCCGGTTCCCAGCCTTTGACAGGTGCATCAAAGCCTTTTGTGAGGCTTCTGGATTCCACTATGAATCGGTCTTGCTCGAGCTGGGGGATGTTTGGGTTTCTCGGAGACATCGATGGTGGGGTGTCCTGTCGAAAAAGAATCTGGGGCCATTCAAACTGTTTGATTGGAATGGGATCAAGTCCACCCCAAAGATTTCATCGGTTTTGAATTGCTTTGACACTGTCCCTCCCGAACATGCAAAGCAATTGGCTTTAACGTTGTATGAGCTTCGTTCCATCCAAGAGCTTGGCACCTTGGAGCGCTATGTCATCAACATTGAGGAGCAGGCACCGACAGCAGTTCATTCTTGGGGCAGTCACTTCCATGGCTGCAGATGCGGCTGTCGAAATACTGGATTGACCCTGGAGCGATTGCAGAGAGATGGTATCCATGTTCTCTTGATCCCAGTGAGCGGGTCCACCAAGCACATGGGCATGGAGCTTCAACATATGAGATATCCCTCAGGGGCGGAGTGTGCATTGTTGAATGGGTTGTCTCCCAACTTGCAGTGGGGCCAAGATGCTCGGCTTGGGTTGTGTCTGGTTGGTCAACTGGCATCACCCCTCCAGAGTGCTTGGGTGTTAACACATGTTCGCCAACATCTCGCCGTACGAGGACTTTTGCCGCCAGTTGGTGAAGGGCCATTGGAGGTGTTGTCTAAACAGAGGACCAAGCTCATTGAGGAGGCAGAACAGGGTGGATTCTTTCGATTCTTGATGGACGCAGATGGTCAAGGTGCTCCTCCTGTCGGTGTTGGGGCCAGGATTCCCATGGAAGTTCACACTGCACCTTCCAGTGGGATTAAGGATGGGGAGTTCCTGGGGATTGTGAACGGAGTGGAATACAAGATCCCCTTCAAGGCAGGTTGCCAAATTTGGCATTGGATCCAAGCCGAGATGGCCTTTCATCCAGCAGGTACCAAGTTTGTGTGTGTGGACAACGTTGGCCGTTTGGTCAATCTGCATTCGGAGCTTTGCAATGCTACTTGGCTCCGATTGGACATCATGGAAGGGGAAGGGGATAGCAAGGTCGTTCTGCCGGCCATGATCATCCAGGACCAACGACCACCATGCATTTTGACGCCCCAGGATGTGGTGCAAATGAGGAGCAATGGACCCATTCTGGCCCAGAAACTCCTGGAGGTGAGTGATCCGGGCCAACCATGGGGTGATGATGAGATTGCATGGCATCTGGGAAAGTTGGCAGAAGAGGCAGATTCTTTTGCAGTATGGGTGGATCCATTGGTTACTGCTAGTCACCTTGTCCATGGCACAACCGTGTTCTTGGCAACTGATGCACCTTTCTTCCGGGTGCAGGGCTGGCTCTTGAGTGTTCCGTTCATTGAGGGGCACTGGATTCCGTTGTTGGGATTCGCAGATGAGGACCATGTGCACTTTTCGGTTTGGGACACTACCTCCGAGCACTTTGCACTACTGGAAGGGCTCTATCGTCCGTTGACAAAACTCATTGGAGCTGAGACTTTCTCGGTTACCAAATATCTTCGGGGGG